AAAAAAAACAACAAAAAAAAAAAAAAAAAAAAAAAAAAAAAAACCAAGAAAACAACCCACTGAGTCTAACTAGCGCTGCTTGCATGTGCACGAGTGGCTGGCAGGTGAATAGCTGCTTTTGGCTCTCTTGGGTGGTATTCCTCGCATGTGTACATAGCAGAGGTAAGGGTGGACTTGTGGGAGGAAGTGGTTTGGAAATACAGCTCAGGTCTGTTTGGGACTTGGGCTTATGTGGGCTGGAGTCAGGATGGGGCACATTAAAAATGGACCATAAAGATGGCCCAGGAGAGATTCACGACAGAGCCTTTCTGGGAAGCTAGCTGAGCCTGAGTGGACAGTGCTCACCAGGAAGGACTGGTAGGCTGGCTTCACCAGGGTCTATGGCCTTGGCATTGTGTGTGCGTGAGGGGGGGGGCGAGGGAGGGAGAGAGAGAAAGACAGAGAGAAAGAGAAAGAGAGCTTCCTCTTCCTACTCTAGCTATGACCTAGGACCCTTCCTCTGTGGCTGCAAAACTGCTGTGTTTCTTCATGCTGGCCACTTCCTCCCTAGTGGAATTGCTCCCTGGTGCCTCTGCTGCCCCCGTCCCTCTTGCCTGCTCAGTGTCTGGACTGTGTCTAGATGGCAGGGCTTGGAGGATGGATGGATCACTGAAACAAATTGGCTTTCTGGCTACAGCTAAGATCTAGATGTGTGTGTATATGGTTCCTGGGCTGTTAGCACAGCAGGAGTAGCATGAAGGACAGGGTAGCTGATGACAGGCCTTTGCTGATGGGTGCCATTTGAATGGGAGAAAGGGCTCTTTAGAGGAGTCGCCTCGCCTCTGCTGGCCTGCTGGGATGTGTGCATTATTATCCACAAGGCCTGGCTGGCTTACCGTGGTTGGGGCTGCATGAAGCCACCTAGGGAAGGCCAGAGAGGAAGGATCAACTACAGGGGCCAAAGCCCAAAGTGAAGGCACAGCGTGTTCAGCTGTGCACTCTCTCTGAGTTCATGGGCTTTCTGGGCAATACTTGCTCCCATGTCCTGGGAACTGGACGGCACAGGGGCTGGCCATAGGGGCTGGAGAACTGCAGACATGTCTGCCTGCCTCACTTGGCTCCAGGCTGACTGTTGGTTGACTGGTCTGCCTGGCCCTGGGGCCCCAGCTTGGACTGTGTGCCCAGCAAAGCCCAGGCAGCATGTGACTTATGCACAGCGATTGGAGTGCAGGGGGAGCTGCCAGGCTTAGCGTGGTGGGAGTGCAGTGAGGGTGCAGATGGCATGTGCTGAGTGATCCTGGGACTTCTGAGAAGGCTGGCTTTGGGGGTGGGGCACTGCATCTACATGAGAGGCTGAGTTCGTGAGGAGGGAACAGGGAGAGGGGAGGCTAAGGCTGGATTCTGGTGCCTGGACCTTGTTGTGAACCATGGAAAGTTGTGGAAGTGACTTAGGTTGGAGGCAGTGGGCCTGGGTCTGAGGGGAGGGGTGGTCCCTGAATTCAGTAGAGGGCCTATCAGTGTCATGCTGCTCTGGGAAGATGGGGGTTTAATCACAGGTCTTTAGCCCTGTGGGCCACTGTCCCCTGATGGGTTCCTCTCTGCTTTGCATGACTCATGGTGGGCTCAGGTCTGTCCTTGGCCTTGGCAGTTTCCTGCTGCCATAGAGATCAGGTTGCATAGAACAGACTGCAGAGATGGTTTCTGCCTCTGTATGAACCCAGCTTCCACACCCCTCCCACGAAGTGCAGTGAGAGACCTGAGATGGTGGTTCTGCTTGGTGTCTCATGTGGTCCTTGGTCTCACTTCTCAAAGCTCATTTTGCAAAGGAACAGCCAGAGTCACACCTGGGTCCTCCCCATATTGGGTATTGTGTGTTCATCTTTCCATGCCACCGTGTTCCATTGTGTGACCATCAGTGTGTTGTCAGGGCTGTGTGTTTCATGAATGACAAAGCTAGGAATGATCTGGAATGTGCCTATTGGCTTGTTTTTCTTGATGTGTTCCAGGAGCATGGATGGCATGTGTGCTTAATTTAGTAGACACTGGGCAGATGAAGGAATCTATTGGCAGCTGAGGTCACACTCCTCCATTCTGAGCTTGGTCACTCATGAATCCAATGGAAGCTCAACCCTTGGAAGCCTCAGTTGAGAGTGGTCCCTACCATGGTCTGTGAGTGGCAGGTACATCCTGCTTGCTTTCCCAGCTGTCCTGCCCCAGTGAATGCTGAGGAAAGCTGCAGGCTGGACACAGGCAGCCATGGTGGGCTGAGGTTTCACTCTCAGTCTGGAGCTCTCTCTGGGTCCCTCTCCAGGGTTCCTCTTGCCCACTGAGCCCTGTGCCTGCTTCTCAGGCAGCAGGAGTTTTGTTGACCGAGGCTGGCCCAGTGGCTCCTCTGAGCAGCCTTCCCTACCTCTCCACCCAGGTACAAGCTTGCTGCAGGAGGTGGTCTACCTTGTGAGCCAGGGCGCCGATCCTGATGAGATTGGCCTGATGAACATTGATGAACAGTTGCCAGTGCTGGAGTACCCACAGCCGGGTCTGGACATCATCAAGGTACCCGTGTGACCCCTTCTTCCACAGTTACACCTGCCCAGTGGCAGTGGTTAATGGGTGATCATGGGAACAGCTGAGGACCTCCAGGAAGTTCTAGCTAGCCAGGAGAGAGAAATGAACAGGCTGAATCCTTAACTCAGCCTGAGTCTTTAAGGCTCCTGGGGCCTGTCAGGTACAAGAGACTGATGTCAATGTCAGGGAGTCTGCAAGGTGGGGAGGAAATAAATATGTGTTTGGTCATTGACTGAGGGACTACCAGTGGGGAAGCAGGACTCAGCCCCATCCCTCATCTGTCAAGGGAGCTAGGGTGGACATGATTGAACAAAATCCTAGGTATCAAAAATGAATTTAGCTAGGTGTGGTGGCTTCTACGTATTGCCCCAGAACTGGGGTGGCTGAGACAGGAGGATCAAATGGGTTTGAGGCCAATCTTGGCCATATGATGAGATCCTGTCTTAACAGTAAGAGACTTTGTGCCTTCTGTCCCTTAGAGGTATCTGGACCTTTCTTTCCATTCCATCCCCTGCTGGCTCTGTAGTTGAGGCCTTGCAGCCCTCGCCTCTCCTACCTGCTTTCCGGCTAGATGAGCACTTGGGGAATATATCTCTGAGAGTCTTGACCGCACGTCATGGCAGCAGATCCCTCCTGCTCTTGGTGAGCTTGTTTTTGACTGGACCTGGCACCTGGAGGTCGCCCTCCTGCCTGCAGTCTGTGCTGGGTGTTGTTGGCTCCTCTGCAGGAAATACTGGGAGTGTGTGGTGCCTCTGCTCTAAGCACCCCACTTGCTGGTGTTGTTCCTGGTGCTGTAGAGAGCTGACAGTTCCCACCTTAGGGCAGGAAGTCATGATGGTTACAGAGCTGGGGGCAGTGGACCAGAGGCAACAGATGTCTGAGGAATGTTCAGAAGGAAGAGAGGAGCAGAGGGCTTAATGGACACCAAGGCTCCTGGTCCAAGGGGAAGCTGACAGGATGAAAACCTCTGAGCAGAGGGCTGCTGTCCACTGGGCTGCTGTGAGGCCAGAGTGTAGGGTAGCTGGAAGCTTTGAAGTCAGACACTCCCATGTTCTTACAGGCACTGTTTTATGCCCTTCTTTTTTGTTTCTGCTGCCCCACTGACTCTTCCTCATTCTCAGCCACTCAAACCAAATCCCTGTGGCTGAAAGGGATTGGTCCCTCAGGCTGGGAACAGGGATTCTCATTACAAACATCTCCTGGGATCAAGCCACCTGTGAGTTATGTCCAAATGGCTCAAGTGGGTAGTTGGTTAGAACATACTAAGTCCTGCTTGGCCAGGATCCTCCCAGAGCACTTAGAAAGGCCCTGGGAGGGAAGGAGTGTGTGTGCACATGTTCACACACATATGTCTCTCTGCAGGAACTGACATCTCCCCGCCTCATCAAGAGCCACCTCCCTTACCGATTCCTGCCCTCTGACCTCCACAATGGGGACTCCAAGGTAACCTATCCTCATTTCCCATCCCCCACTTCCTCATGAAGGCTTCTGAAACCACTGAAGGTGCCTCTAGCCCTGGCCCAGGGCCTGTCTTGGATCATGTCTGTAGTGCTTCCTCCATGCTTACCAGGGAGTGAGAGGTGTTCTCTCATTGGAAGATGGTGCTTCCTGTTCTTGTTTCTGTCCTCAGTCGTAAAGTTCCTGGGCCACCAGCCCTTACCAGGGCATTACAGTAGAGCCCAGATAAAGCAGTTCAGTGAGGTAGTCAGGTGCTCACCTTGCATATTCAGCCCCTGGCCAGAGCACATCCTGGCCAGGAGGAGGGGAGTGACCCATCATTCTGCTACCCACAGGTCATCTACATGGCTCGAAACCCCAAGGACCTGGTCGTGTCTTACTATCAGTTCCACCGCTCACTGCGGACCATGAGCTACCGAGGCACCTTCCAGGAGTTCTGCCGGCGGTTCATGAATGACAAATGTAAGTGCCAGTGGGCATGAGCTCTAACCTAACAAATACCAGCCGGTGTTGGGGGTGTTTCTGGAAGGCGCTGCATGGGATGGCACCTCACCCGCACCTCTGGAAGCCTGCTGTGCAGTCAGGGCTTGCGTTATTGCCACATGGTGGGGATGGTGAGGCTGGGGAGCTGTGGATCTTAGAGGTGGCATGCAGCAGTGTAGATCCTGGGACTTGCTGAGTCTTATCCCCCACCATCTGGAGGGTTCTCCAGATACTCACCTGCCCTTCCTGCCTGGGTGCTTACTGGGGTGAGAATGAAAGCTGTGAACTCAGAGGTCCAGATCTCTATGCTGTGAATGGTAGAAACCACAGTGAAGGCTGCTACTGGGTGTGAACCATCATGTGGGCTGGACTTCAGAGGCCGGCACTGAGCAGGGTGTGCTGGGTTGAATGCTATGTATACTTCCTATTGGCTCCTTCCTGACTCAGAAGGATCAGGGCCTGGCCACCCCAGTCTGCTGGTCTTCCAGGAAGTCAGGGACCATAAGAGGGAACAGCCCTGTCTCTGTCTTTCTTCATCCCGCTGGCCACTTGTCTCCTTGGAGCCATTGTAGCAGTTCCTCTTTGGCTGTGTTCCCACCTCCCCTCAGTCACCCACACATCTCTGTAGGTCTTGTGGCCAGCAAGGGACTTGTGTGGTGTGCACCCAGTCATAGGAAAGGGCTTATATCACACTGAGACGGTCTTAGCCATTGGTCTCAAAACACACTAACTGCTCTGTGTGGTTCATGGGGGGTCCTGCAGGGAGGCTGTGAGGCCAGATGAGAATAGAGTGTGTAATGGTGAAACCTCAAGTGCAGCAGGCCTAGGGCAGCCTCCAGAAGCTTTCTACTCAGGCAGTGGTGTAGACAAGGCCCTGTAGAGTTGGCTGGGCTGCAACAGGCACACTGAGCTGCCTGTAGTTGGGAACCCACAGGGGCCGAGGTCCCCAGTGATGTGTTTCCTTCTGTTAAGCATGGTTTCAATTGTGCCCAGGCCTGGGTCACATGCATTGTGGGAAATACCAGCACCTGTTCTCCAGGGTCCTTGGCCCTGCCCAGCTTCACTCCCTACGAACTATTGAAGTGCCCCTTTCAGACTTCCAAGTGTGTGAACGGCCCTCTTCTGGCTCACAGTATTGTACCTTCTAGCCCTGGCACCTATTCTTGCCTCACAGGTGTGTGGGAAGAGCATGGGAGTGACAGCAGGAGTCTGCCATATTCAGCCTGGTGTACTCTTAGCCAGGGCTGCTAAAATCTGCCCTGATCTGGGTTTCCCTGTTCACAATGCACAGTCCCAGAGGCCAAGGGCATGTACTCTGGCCTGCATCCTTTTCAAAGGGTATGACTTGGGTGTTCGTGTACCTTATTCTGCTCTTAGCCACACAGTGACCACAGCATGGTGACCTTTCCTCCATGCCCAAGGCTCAAAAGAAAGTGGCAGCTAAGAGAAGAATCATTAAAAAAAAAACATTATTTCCTAGCCAGGATGGTGGTACAGGGCTGCAATCCCAGCTGCTTGGGGGCTAAGGCAGGATGCAGGCAGGCTCAAGGCCTGCCTGGGTTACAGAGTGAATCCAGTGGTAGCCTGGCCAACTTAATGAGACCTTGTCTTTAAATGAAAGGAAGGGAGAAGGCTTGCTTGCTTAGCATGTCAGGCCCTGGGCTTGGTGTCCCCAGTACTGGACAGAGCAGAGGACGGAGCAGGGTAGGAGGCACTGTGAGGAAGATCTGTATGGGAATATTGGTGGCCTGAGACTCCAGGGCTGAGGTTAAGGGATGCACAGGTCAAGTGAATGCTGTGTGGAGCCTCTGGACAGGGTCACTGACAGTATGGTGGTGCTCTGTGAATAGTCTCCCAATGAGGCAAGTACATGGGGAGTCTGTGGTCAGGGTCACTTAACAGATTATGTGTTGGCAGTAATCTGTGGACAGACACTGACCTGTGTAGTGTGAGGAGTACTCCAAAGGTGACCTCTTACTAGGCAAGGACTGTGTTGAGCTAGAATGTCCTGCAGACCATGTGTAAATGGCTTCATGGTCTCAGCAGAGTGAGGCGTGCAGAGAAACGGGGTCATTGCAGGGCCCTTTCTCTGGATGCTCAGCTCCCACCAGTGCACATATGTCTCTTTCCTCTGTGTACCCAGGTACAGAGGCAATGGGGTACTCTTGGTATCCCTGGTAGCAGTCAGCATGACGTTCTTCGTTCATGGTCATGGCTGACCTTCCATGGCTGGCAGTGTCTTTGTCCAGACCATCTGGAAGTCCTGTGCCTTCTCGGGGAATGAAGAGAGTTTGTTCTTTACTAGGTCACTTGCCTTCCTCCTGCCCCAGGACTTCACATCCTTGGGCTCAACTTTGGCAGAACACATGGATCCAGATCAGGGTCCAGGCCTTTTTGTGCCTTGGCCTGCTACTGACCATTCCTGAGACTCAGCTCTGTATAAAGTGAACAGATTTTTCTAAGAGGCATTTGCAGAGGTCATCCAGGTGTGTCTGAGTGGGGTGTGCCTGTGGGGGTCCACTCTGACCCAGGACAATTCCTTACCCAGGAATCTTGCAGGTAGCCTAGAGGGTGGAGCCCCATTCTTGCCCCTGTGTCTCATCCAGTTGGTCTCTTACTGTTGCTCAGCAGGGTTAGGGCACCACTCCTGTATAGCATCTCACTGAGCCCTGCTCTGGGATCCCCCTGGAAGTGTGGTACAAAGACCATTAGAAGGCCACACAGCTCATCCAAAGAGATGGGCATACATTGGAACTCTTCACTAGGAATGCTGTGGCATAGCTCACAGACTGGGCCAAGTCCTTTCACACCTGGCAAGGACCCAGCCCATTCCTACTGCTCTGGCCAGGCAGGGCTGTGCTTAGGCACATGTTGCCTGTGTGATGTGCAGGGCTCCCTTCTCTCTTTAGATCCCAAGTTTCACTGAGAATGCTTGGACTCTACCAGAAGTCATGGGGCAGGGCCTTTTTGTGGAACTATCTTAGAGCTCCCCACACCTCAGCCTACCCTACCTGTCTCTGTCCTGATTTCTCTGGCCGTTGTTTTCTCCCATTGGCACTAGTGTACACACTGCGTCCTCATATCCTCAGAGCCCTTCTGCCTTGTCCGGTCTTCAGGGCATTCATTCTTGGCCTGGATAGAGGTGAAGGAGTGTTGGCAGGAGCAGGAGGGGTGAGGGCCTTTAATGGTTTCTTCCTTCTAGGAGACCTTGCATTTTCCTTCACAGCAACTGGGCAGGAGCAGGGCATCCTGTGGGGACAAGATGGCCTGCACAGTTCCCTCCCCAGCTGTGCCCCTTTCCCTTTTTCCACAGTGGGCTATGGCTCCTGGTTTGAGCACGTTCAGGAATTCTGGGAACACCGCATGGATTCAAATGTGCTTTTCCTCAAGTATGAAGACATGCACCGGGTGAGTAGCTGGGGATATGCCCTCTAGCATGCTGAGAGACGCTGTCCATGGTCCTGGAGCTGCCCATGGTGTTAGAACTCTCTGTTGCTAGAACCAAGTGGAGGCATGGCCCTGTTATGCAGAGCCAAAAGGACACAGAGGGTGGCACGGGAGGGATCTGCACAGTTCCTTCCATGTCCAGGGATGCATGTGGGCCACACAAAAGGCCTCGTCTCAAGTCCCTGGCCCAGCACATGGCCTCTGTTTGGACAGGTTGGTTCCCAGGACAAGTTTCAGACTGGCTCACTGTGGTGCGGAGTTTGGAAAGCCAAGACAAAACACCTTAGCAACAGAAGCAGGACCCCTGCCACTCTCATGTGCTGTCTCAATACCGTTACCTTGGTGACTGTGTGAGACAGCGTGCTGGATTACCCAGTCCTTTTGCTTTTGGTGTCAGCTTTTGGGGATGCTTATGCTCTGTGTGTTAGCCTGTGGTGTCCCTACTGGGTGCTCAAGGAAGGAGGTTAGCATTGGCTAGTGTGGATGCAAAGTCTTGCTCTGTATAGGCTCTGCTAGGTATGGTTGTAGAGGTGGGGAATGCTCAGTGCGTGAGTATATCGAGTGTCATTGTAGCTACGTCGTCTCCCGGGATTGCCACTGCCATGCATGGGTATACTGATGTTTCTCTGTTTCTGTCTTTATCTCTAATTTGGAGACAGAGTTGCTCTGTATATCTCAGGCTGTTCTGGAACTCATTCTGTAGATCAGGCTGTCCTTGAACTTGGAGATCCTCCTGCCTCTGCCTTGTGTGTGCTGGGATTAAAGGTGTGCACCATCATCACCCAGTGGTTTCTGTCTTAAAACTGCCCATGAGCAAACTTGACCTTGACCTGTCTCCCTTTCAGTGTCTTACCCTGATCTTCACTTCATTGCAAGCTCCTCCCCTCCTGTCACAGCCTCTTGTTGCCCTTGCCCCACACCTTCCACACTGTGCTGTCACGGTCTGCAGTAATCGCCTACTTTGCTGCAGTAAGTGATGGTTGTTGGGTTCCTGTCATCTAGCCGTCTAATGACATGACCCCCTCCTCCCTTCCTTATCTGGCTGCCAAGTTGTTCCCCTCATCTCCCCTCACCCTCTTCTCTCCAATTTACTGTATGTTTGTGATTTTAGCCTGCATGTATGTATGAGCACTATGTGCATGCCAGTGCCCAGAGAGGTCAGTCGAAGGTATTGGATATCCTGGAGCTGGAGTTGGGGTGGTTGTGAGCCACTGTGTGTGTGCTAGAAACCAACCTTGGGTCCTCTGCAAGAGACACAAGTGCTTTTAACTGCTGAGCCCCGTGTCCATCCCCACATCTGGCATCTCTTGCTGTTTGCCCCTCACTTAACTGCAGATGACCCACGCCACAGGCCTCAGTCCTGGCCTTGTCTGCCATCTTTTCTTCGGTTCGCTCCCCTGCAGTCTCATCTGTTTGCCAGGTTAGGAGCACTGATTCCACCATGCACAGAGCTGTCTGTGGATGCCCAAGACACGTGTCTGTGTGGTTGTCCAAGGGAGACTGACTCAGGGTACCCAAGCCAGCCCCTGACACTGTCCCTGAGGCCTCAGCAGTCCCTTAGTTCATGGTGGGTTGCTCTGCCCTCCAGTGTTGCTCAGGTGGAATTCTCTTATTTGTCCAATGTCTCTTTCACACTGTGCCTGCATCCTACGTTTCCTCACACTTCCCCAAACATGTGCACCCAAGGCTGTCTGTCTTTCTGTCCATGTCTGCATCTCTTCAGCCTGTTAGAGAGGCACAATCCCAGACTTTACTCCTGGCTCCCTCCCAGCCTATCCATCAAGTCCTCATCATAGCAGCTGTGCCTACTGGTGCTAAAATGTATTACAACTTATCTTGTCACAGCCCATATGACTGTGGGTGATCATCAGATCTCTGTAGTGGTTCCCAGTCCCTGGATACATTACCCCCCCACACCTTGTTAGTGCTTGAACCTGCCCCTCCAGCTTCTGTTTCAGGCCTATGCATTTGTTCCGCACACCTAGAATGTTCTTTAGTGATCTACATAGGTTGCCTTCTCATCGCTTTCTCATCCACTCATAGGCTACCTTGTCAGTGGCTGCCCTACCTTTCCTTTGTATGTGTGTTCATGTGTTCAAATCAGCATGTGTCAGGCTCTTGGCCATTGTTTTCTGAGTTACAGAGTGGCCTGCAGGGTGGTGACACCTACTCCCCTTTCCACAAGAAGACTGAGAGTGCCATGAGGCACTGAGAGACAAAAGCCTGTTCAGGCTTCTTGCTGGAGCAGGGGAAGCTGCTTCTTCTCAGAGCAGTCCCTAAGGGTGCACAGGCCTGGACTGCAGGGAGCCAGGCCCAAGTGTCCTCTGGAGGTTCTGAACAAGGCAGACCAGGGCCAAGCCATGCTACCCGCTGTGTCAGGGGAATATGATGGTTAATGGGAGGGGCTGGAACAAAAGTCAGATAGACTCGAGGTGGTGTTAGAGAGGGAGGCAACCCTGTGTGGACTTGAACATGACTTTGGAGATCCGATCAGAAATATGCTGAGGACTCTGGGTTAGGGGGAGGAGCTTATGAAGCCCCTTCCCCCATGATGATGGCTCCTGAGCACAGGGAAGGGCTGAGTAGAGGCTGTGGTGGTGTGGTGTTCACTACCTCCTAGTACCCAATCCTTGATGTCCCTTCTGCAGTGACTCTAGGCTGGGCTTGTGCATTTAGGTCCTATGAGTACCAGAAAACATGCTACAGGGGAAGTAGAGGCTCCTTGTGCCATGGAGCTTGCCTTCACAGACGGTATCCACCACCTGGTGGGACCCAGCTGTCCTGCTGGGAAAACTTAGGGGGCTCAGTGGGCACTAGGCAAACAACCTCACTAACTGCTGGTAGCTGAGATCTCAGGGTAGCAACCCCACACCCATGGGGAGAGTCCAGGTAGCCTGGAGGCCCAAGTGTGCAGAGAACCATAGGAGGGTGAGTATATTTCAGCTTGCACTTTCAAGAGGAGTCTGTCCATGGTCTGATTTACTGATTCTGACCCTGTAATTGGGTGGGGGGGCATACTACAGGGGTCCATTACTTCATGGAGATCAGGAAGTACTCTGGTCCCTGGTTATGGGTAGAAAGTGCAGCTCAGATGAGTGAGGTGTACAGTTAAGTTTGACCTGGTATACCATCCAAAAGTCTCCTTTACCATGTGGCCAGATGCTGCATGTATGAATGCTGAGCTGCCTGGAGCAGTCCTGTAGAACACCTCCACTGTCTGTCTGTCTTATCTCCTGCAGCCCTTTCCTTGGTGGTTTCTTCTGAGGGCCAGCTTTGTTTCTCTCTCGTTCTTCTAACCATTCAAATGCCAGGGTTAGTAGAAATGGGTTCTTCTTTCCTTTGTGCTTTCTCTGACACCTGTTGTTCACATAGCCCACTGTGAACATAGCCATTCCTGTGCATGGGACCCTGTGGCTGTGTGTCCTTGGGAGACAAAGAAGATAGGAGTGGCCTCTGGGAGGTGGGTGGGTACTGCAGGAATCCATGGAGGACACATCCACCACAGACTTTAAAGTTAAAAACATTAATTAACCAGTGTGTGCCACAACCTTGCACAGATTTAGGGGTTGATCTAACTGGAGTGATGGGGAATGAAGAAAGGACAAACATGCATACAGAAAGTCTGGGATCGAGTGGGTCATGCACTCCAATGGTGATGCACCACCAGAAGCTTGCTGAACAAGGAAGCAGATTTAGCTAATCTTGGTCAGGGTCTCAGCAGTCTCTGGACATAAACATCCAGAAGGAGGGAGGAGGAAGTCGTCCATATGTCAGCATTCCGACATGGGCCAGGGGAAGGCTTTGCTGTCCCCATGGGTCTGAAGCATTGGGGTCCTTGACACACCCTTGCTCACATCAACATACATTCAATGAGAACTTCCTCCACTTTCCATGCCAGGGTCTAGCTGGTACCTCCTGAGGCTTCTGGTGCTAATTTCTTTCTTGAGAGGAAACAGCTGCCAACATTTTCCTAATGTTTGTCCAAAGCTGTTGCCAGCAGGCTTTCAGGCACTTGGGAGTGGTGGTTTAGGGATCCCACTGGGAATAGAAGGCGCCTCAGCATTTCCTAGGGAGAACATGACTGCTGTAGGGAACAGTGGTGTGCCTGCTCCAGCTGTATTCTACCTTCAGTTGTTGGCATTGTGGGACTATAAATGGCTCTCTGTCCAATGAGCAACTTGATAGGACTCACTTTCCTTAATTCACCTTCCTATAGGTGAGGTGGGTTGGGCATAGGCCCCCAGGGCACTTGTGGGTGCAGAGAATTCCAGAAACTTGGTGGCAGCTAAATCATGCCAGTAATGGATATTCTTTGCTGTTGTTGTTTATAAATGAGCCACAGCTCTCAAGACCTTTTCCTTGTATCCCCACACCTACCTCCTCTTCCCACAGCCATGAGTTCAAATCCAAGCCTTGAAGGTTTTGAGCTGAGTGCCCTACTCAGCATCACCTCCTGGCTGGACCGGTCGCCTGAGTGCTGAGGAAGTAAACCATTGATTACAGTTTCTTGCTCAACCTGTACTCTGGGTGGCTGCCTCTGATGGCTGCTCTGCTCTCTATCCTTGTCTTCCAGGACCTAGTAACCATGGTGGAGCAGCTGGCCAGATTCCTAGGTGTGTCCTGTGACAAGGCCCAACTGGAGTCCTTGATCGAGCATTGCCACCAGCTGGTGGACCAGTGTTGCAATGCGGAGGCCCTGCCTGTGGGCCGGGGTATGTGTCCCGTCCCTCCCCTTGCTCAGGTATTCCCTGTCGACCTAGGACTTTCTGGGCTAATTTTTCTCTGGGCAGCAGCACTTGCTGGCCAGTGCCTGTTGGGGGCACGGTGCTCCAGGAGTAGGGCATGCCCTGCCCTCTTGTAACATGGTGCTACAGTTCAAGGGGCAGCAGCTGTTGGGGCTGGTTTAGGCTCTGGATAAGGTGTGTTCATGCTGAGCACTTCCCACTGGCTCAGTTAAAATTTCCTAAGAGCAGACCCAGGGCAGGGCTGTAGTACCAAGATGTTTTTCAATGCAGGGCAGGCCACCAACTTAGCAGCCTTCCTTCTGGTGGCTGTGAGTTGTGAGCGGTCACCACAGGAAGATGGATCCCACATTAAGAACTGTCCTCTTCCTTCCCTGACCCAGAAGGGGCTTCTGGGTTTCCTATGGCACAGATGACAAATGGCCCAGCCTAAGGGCAGCCAAGCATGGGTAGTCAGAGTCAGGGCCCAGACGGAGACGGGACACCTTGGTAGCAGGAGGCAGTTGGTGGGCAGGCAGACTTTGGAGACAGTATTCCAGACAGGACTCCTCCCAGGGCCACTGAGTCAGTTTCCTAGCTCTTCAGGGTACATGCTAGTAGCTACTGGGTGGGGCAGCTCAGGTACTGAAGTCCCAGGGTGTCTCAGAGCAGTGCTGTATTCCATAAATCCTTTCCTGGTAAGTATGGTCTAGGCTTGCAACCAGCTGCCAGCAGTGTGAGCTGGTAACTTTCAGAGGGTGAAGAGCAATGAGGGAAGATCTTAGGACTCTGGGTGGTGCCCAAGGTGGGGGAGAGAAGCTGGGCTCTGATTATAGCCTGGCTGCCTCCAGGAACCATGGCTTCTAGGCTTTTCTCTACATCCCAGCTGCTAGGGGCCAAAGGCAGTTGCTAGGGGTCAAGTACATAGAGCCATGCTGGATAAGGCCTAACTAACTCTGCTCCTCCAGAGAGCAGATGACAGAACCACATCCACTTCCCTCGTTCTGTGTCCTGGCTGCATCATCTTCACAGAGAGTTATGATTTCCAGCTTGCCATTCTTCAGTTTCGCTTTCACCATATTTTGTTAACCCTGTCTGTGACTGCCTCCTCAGCCCCCTTTGGTTTGCATGTGGTGGTGAGTGTGTGGTTTGTATGTAGTGTGCCAGGTCACATGTGCTCTGTTGAGTTCCCACATACTCCTTCAGAGGCGTTTGCTCTGTCACCGTTGGCCTTGGTTTTGCTTTGTTTCAGTTCTGTGGTTTTGTTTTCTTTTAGCACATTTGCGTCTTTACTCAGAAGATCGCCTTGAGGTGGCAGGGATGCAGGGGCTCGGGGAGCCGGCTGCATTGCTTAAATTTGGTTCATGTCACAGCATAAATTGTCTTGATTCCAAATCCTAAACCAGGTGGGTGACTCCTCTGACAAGCTCTCAGCTGGGAAAAAAATTATCGTGGAAAACTATATTTATCGTGTGGTTGGTCTAGGAGCTTCTAATTTGGTCCCTTTGGTATCATTAGAGGGTGGCAAGAACAATTTTATCTGACTTTTCTAACACATACAGATGATGTCTCATTACCAAAGAGAAAGTCCTGATGTGTCAGGAGTTTTAGCCCAGCTTCAGCAGGGCTGTGGCTGCTGGGACAAATGCCGAGGTTAAGACCTGAGTAAGGCCATTGCTGGAGATGACAGAGTTCTGACTTCAGAACTGCCCCTCCCTCCAAATCCCACTTGTTTAAAAGCACAAAGCCAAGACACAAACCTCATCACTCCTGTGGATGGGAGGTGTGGAATACACACTCCTAATCATCCCCCCCCCCCCCCCCCCCCGTAGAGCTGGTTCTGACCAGACTGGGACAGCAGCTGGGGCTGTGGGGAGACTCTCTGTGGAGTTGAGGTACGACACATTGAACTTACACCATGGATGTCTCATTCATTTTAAGCCTTCCCCAATTTTTTGAGCTTAGGCTTCTGGAAATCCCCACCGTTGACGGCTTCAGGAGAGCTTCCTGCTGACCCTTGGGATGATTTTGTACTTTTTTTTTTTTTTTTTTTTTTACTTTTTCGAATTCTCCAGAGGCGGCTGTTATGCCAACAGCCATTGGTACTGTGGACCTGTGAGTCAAGGACTCCTCAGAGCACTGCCCTCAGCCCACAGTACTTCCTCCCTGGCTGGTTTGTGGAGGGAGCTAACCTGGAGCAAGAGCTGAAGTCCCTCTTGGTCACAGGTGTGGGTCTGTGTGATGCCTGGTGCACAGTTGACAGAAGGTGGCAGTAGGAAAGCTTCCCTCCACACTTAGGGAAGTTGGTTCCAGTCACAGGACTCACGTGGTCTAGCTCAGGTGGTCCGTCCCACCCAGCAGGCCAAGCTCAGAGGGGTCTAGGCACAGATCTGGAAACTTCCGGATCCATTCCCAAGGCTTCCTTTTGTCTCCAAACTGGTGGATACAGCCAGTTCTACTCTGGTCTGTGTTGCAGGAAGAGTCGGGCTGTGGAAAGACATCTTCACCGTCTCCATGAACGAGAAGTTTGATCTAGTGTATAAACAGAAGATGGGGAAGTGTGACCTCACGTTTGACTTTTATTTATAATATCAGAAACCGCGAACTTGCATGCTCACGGTCCCCAGATGCTCTACTAGCTAAAAGTCCTGTATGCGTTCATTTCTTCCTTGATGGACACACTCTGGAAGCTGCGTGGAAACAGCAGGGAACAAGCCCAGTGGAGAGAGCGAGGAGTGTGATGATGCTGTCCACAGCAGCCACCTGGCCTGTAGCATTTGAGTTTCCATGTGGTGGCCATAACACAGGCACGGGCAGCAAGAATGTCTGCCATGTACCCCATGTTATTCACTGTATTTTATAGTGCTTTTCACTGGAAATCTAAATAAATATCTGTCAACCAAATGCAAGTCAATTTCCGTGAGAGAGCAGGAGTGAACTGTGCCAGGATGGTAGGAAGCTCTCAGGGTTCACTGTAATTTTTGTAGTCTTTTCTCTAGGCACAGCCATCCCACCTTGTTCTGTAATCTAAGGATGGGTTGGGATCACATGGGGGGGTGCTGGATAGGTGGGTCTAGCCGGTGGTCTAGCCAGTCTTCCAGAACCATCCTGACACCAAGCCAGGGCCTGTTCCAGGGAATTTTCAGAAACACCTCCAATACACAGCTCTCTGAACCTAGTATAGAAGAGCTCAAGGAAAGGTCGGGGAGGGAAGCTGGTCTGAGACTGCAGATGGCATCTGAAGGCATTGATGGTGTGTCAAGAGTCCCCCACAGGCACAAGAATTAGTATCTGCCACAGCCTTCTCTTGTTCCCCAAGGCAGTGACTGACACACTCCTGCTGGCAAGAAATGACATAGCATGGTTCTAAAATCCCTAGTTGCTATCACTTGTGCTTCAGCTGTGCCAAGGCTCTCACCTAGGAGACCTAGTCTGCAGGTTGAATGTTCTCCATGCAGAAAGGATTGGCAAACCCACTCATCTGAGTATCTGAGGGAGTGATGGTCCTGTGTGCTACACACACACACACACACACACACACACACACACACACACACACACACACACACACACACACACTGCTGTCTCCTGGCTCCAATTTGGCCCAAGTGATGGCCAGATGAGAAGTGGACCAGCGGATTGGTGCTCATGGGGACTAACTTGTTCTGTTCCTTACCAGGTTGGGAAGAGCCCAGCATGGTGGTGGGAGGCTCTGGCTATGGAAGAGGCCTGCTGTGGGTGGTCTCTGAAGCAGGTCGGGTTGCAGCTGGCATTACCTCTGTCCGGGGAGAAGCTTGTGTGGGCTGGGTGCATGACTCTGTGAGGTGGGCATGGCAGCACCTTTCCTGTGTGTCTGGGAAGGAAGGCTGCTTTCTGTAAAATTTTGTTTCTATTTTTCTATTTTACGGATGTTCTGGAGCCACACGTGGTACTCTGTGCTTGCTTGCATCTTTAATAAAAGACACCTCCCTGCTTGTGTGGTGTGTATGCTGGGTGGAGAAGGGTCCCTGTGCATTCTCCTCTAAGGAGTGTGAGCCCCATCCCTGACCTATCCCCTGGGAATGGCTACAGAGGGAAATAGCCTAGGGTGGGTTCTGAAGAGGCAGAATGTGGTTGTTTTACCCCCGTGCAAACTTCATCAGGTTGAAGCCCACCTACTACTTCAATGACCTTTAACCTGGAAGTGACGGGAATGGTGAAGGGAGAAAGAAGGAATTGGGGGAGAAGTTTTCGTGTTCTGTGACTCTCTTCTACCTCCGAGCTCTACCTGCCTCTAGCTCCAGCTCAGGGCATGGTGGGAGACTGACCTGGTCCAGCCCTTTCTGGCCATCTTCACCAGTCCTGGGGCAGGGGATGGGCGATCCTGGGCTCCATTTCCTCTGTAGAGAGGGAGAGCCTAGGGTAAATGCAGACTCTGGTTAGTAATCTTGTGTCCCCATGCTGTGCCTAGAAGGGTCTGCCCTTGGTCATTCCCAAACTTGTCACACATCAGGGAACCCAGAAGATGCAGGGAGATGAACTCTTGCCTGTTCTACCTATAACCCCTTTGCTTAGGCAGGGACCTCAGTGCTGCTGTGTACCAAGTGCTGTGCTAGGCAGCAAGAAAACTCAGACTTCTGGAGCTTTAGTTCCAGTCAGAAAACAAGTAAAGGAGACTCAGGGCTAGTTCAGGATCAGGATTGCTGTCATGGGCCATTGAGACAAAGGTTGCTTAGTGGGTAAAGTCTATGCTGTTTAAACATGAGGATCTGAGTTCAAACCCCCAGCAGTACATGAATACAGCCACCTGTAATCCCCAGCACTCAGGAGGCAGAGACAGGATTCACAAAACAAGCTAGCCTAGCCTGTATGGGTGAGCTTTAGGCTCTGTGAGAGATTGCCTTAATATATAAGGTGGCAAGTAAGCAAATGGAATACTTGCTGTAAACCTCTCACCTCCATGTGTACACATGCACACACATGGAAACATGTATGCACAGCACACACATCCCGTACCTCCCAAAAGATAAATGTTGCATCTAGTGAGCTCACATGGAGGATTTAGGCTTAGGAGGTTGTGGGAGACCAGGGCTGGTAGGCTCCAGGATATCCTGTACAGGTAGGGGCTGTTTGGAAGTTAGGCCAGCATCCACTCACAGAGCGCCCTCTAGATCATGGGAACTTGGCTTTTGAGCTAATAGGAAGCCCCAGAAGGTTTAATCAGGAGCATGCTACCTTGTCTGTGTTTGCCCAGGCTCTCTGGCTCTTCAAAGTTTCCTGTGAGGGTGAAAGCCCCTACCCCCAATCCCAGCTGTACTACCCAGGCTATAGGGTCGGGGCAGGACCTGTGTCTTAGAGGTTCTGAGCATTCTTGGGGGTCCCAGCTATTCCTGCATGGCTCCTGCCTCTTGCTGGAGTGACAGGAACACAGAATGAGGAACAGCTATCTTGAGTGGATTTAGAGAAGAGGCATGCTGGAGTAGAGCATGGAGGTGTTGAGCTGGGCGTGGAAAGGAGTTGGACAAGCAGAGAAGGGCAGAATCACAGGCTAATAGCTATAGAAATCCTTATGTTCCCCAGTGGCTGGGTCCAGAGTTCAGGTCAGTGGTTGCCTGACCTGGATCCACAGAAGAAAGTCTCTTGGGGAGTGGCAGAGGGTGTCTGTTCTTCCTTAGAACTGGAACTTCAGACTGCTGCTGCTTTCCTGCCGAGGGTTCCCAAGTTCTCCTACCCTGCCAGAGCCTCCATGAGCTTAAAAGGCTTCCCCACTTTAAAGTCAGTGAGCTACTCAGGCATCAAGTTGCTGCTCAACTTTGTCACTTTGTGAAATAGTCCTTAATACCGCTAGAAGGGAGGCCACTTTAGAAGCAGAGTAAATACACAAAACCTTCCCAAGCCAGGCATAATTTTACTCACCCTTAAGTCCTAAGCCCTTCAGTGGGGAGGCTGAATCAGGAAGTTCGTGGATTCACAATCAGTCTGAGACTCTTAAAAAAAAAAAAAAAAAGCAAAACCAAAAACAAAAAAAACTTAGCCAAACCAAACAAGAACACAAAATCAGAACAGGAGTAGTGGTCCCTGCATAAAATCTAATCAAGCAGGAGGCTGGGGCAGAAAGATAAAGAGTTCAAGGCCTGCTTGATGACAGTGAAACACTTATCTCCAAAGTCCAAAACAAAAAGAGCTAAAAAGAAAACCCTCATCCAGCATGTCTTGCTCATCACCATGCTACAGGCTAGCCAGCACTGCCACCTGGTGCCAATTTACAGCTTGGCTTAGCTTGTTGGTTTTGTTCACAGCCCAGGAGGTGAGGGATGGGTTGGACAAGACACCATGACCCTATGTGAACACAGACACTACTAAAAGTGGGGCTGCATCCTGGGGAAACTCCTGGGGATGGTTTTTACCCACCCGCTGTTTGCTGATAGCTGGGGAGGGTGGGTGGCTCCCTTGCAGCTAACCTTTCTTGGTGCATCCAGCCCTGCCCTGCTTAGAGCTTGGCAGTCATTTCCCATAATGTTATCCATCCTTGTACACTGCATGTTGCATGTTTTAGAACAGGGTGGCACCTCAGTCTGGGTATAGCCAGGGAATAGCCTCTGACCCTAGCAGCTGAGTGTCCCCATGACCTCAAAACCTCACCTCAGCGTGGTCCTTGTTATCCCCTAGCAGATGATGTCCCAACTAGGCCTGGCTGACCCTTGGAATTCCTCCTCCCTTCTTCCTTCTTGAGCTGCCCAGCCCCGCACCTCCACCCAGGCAGCATCTCTTCCTGCACTGGACAGTTTCCTCTGTATTCTCACCCCATGCGCAAAACCTCACCTCAGAGTGGTCCTTGTTATCCCCTAGCAGATGATGTCCCAACTACGCCTGGCTGACCCTTGGAATTCCTCCTCCCTTCTTCCTCCTTGAGCTGCCCAGTCCCGCACCTCCACCCAGACAGCATCTCTTCCTGCACTGGACAGTTTCCTCTGTATTCTCACCCCATGCTTGCCTCCTATCACCCACATCATCTCCTGGTATCCCTGTGCCTCCAGGTACCAGGCTGCCCTGGGAGCAGGGTTGTGGGTGCA